TGTTCTAATCTGTGAAGTGAAAATGTGTGAAAAGACTGAGATATGAGGGATCATAATGGTGACTTTTGACTTTTTTCGCGTGCACCAGTTCAAATGTATAGGCCATAAATCTTGCGAGACGAGGGGCAAGGTCTCGGAAGGTATCGTCGTGAGATCATCAGCGATAAGCGCTGGTTAGAGGGGTTCCGGCCCCATGATTATGGTATGGTGGTTTTCATTCTAGAATTTTAAAAAAAGTAAAAAGTTTTTTTGGTGGTATTGCGGCTCGATCGCCAGTATTTTTTTGTACAAAACGTGGACAATTATGGTGATAAATTCACTGGAAACGAATTCAGAAATACAGTAAGGGAAAAAACAAGCAGGTCCCTGGATAAGAGGAGGGAACGGGGGTGCTCAGGAGGGGGAGCAGGGCTGAACCTTTCATCACAGCCCGTATAAAGTAGACGCTGATAAACTTGAACGAATACTTCGAGGATGGTGATCCTGTTTTTTTCCAAATTCTAGTTTTTACGAGGAGTTTTATATGCGTTCAAGGTAGTAAGCTCGTGGGAATATATCACTGAACCATTTTGGGCGCTAATAACCCTGGGGTTCACACATGTAAGCGCTTGTTGATGTGTGTGTATCATTGCCTTTGTTTTTTTTCTCTTGTCTTCCCCCGGTCTCACCCTGAAGTTTGTGTAGGTTCCCTTCCAGTACACTGTGAACTCCTTTTAAGCTTGGCGAAACGGTACAAGCGTCATTTGAGCACCATTTCTCAGTTTTCTTCAGGTTTTTGATCTGTAGTTTTGACAAGATCGACAGGAGTCACAGAGTGCTTGACAGGGGAGCAGGGTTTACAGGGCGTCAACAAGGTTGTCAAGTATTCTCGTGTGCAGCGTACATAATTTGGTATACTGTCAAGCACCTACAGGTGTGCCACCTCAGCGTTCAATTTTGAACTATTTTTCTTGCGAAGAAGGCCGATATCAGTTTCGAGTAGGTTTGCTAGGCAAAACACGAATTTAAATTGAATCTCATCGTGTAAAGTTTGATCAGCGCCCAAGCGATAACATTTTTTTATGAATTCAACAGAACAGGGGTAATCCTTGCTCTCCAACTTAGGATGCTTTCATACTTTGCGTCAGCGACCACCAGCGGCTAGGAAAGTATGGATATCGTTCTAGCGAGCGCCAGCGTCTAGCAGCGTCCACCAGTGTATAGCAGCGTTTTCGCAGGCAGTTTCGCTCAAGTTCAACAATGCCTGCGAAAACGCTGGTGGACGCTGATGCAACGTGTGACCGCAGCCTTAACGAGATAGCTTGCGGCGAGCCCACAAAGGATTGTGAACGAAAATTGGCGAAAAAAAATTCCGAAAAAGTCTGAAGGCCGCTGAGCGCTCAAGTTTTTTTTTCAAAATAATCATCATTGTATGCCATGGTGTCCACAGATATAGTTAAAGTCCCCTAACTTTCATCATTTATAAGTTTTTTTTTCAGTTTGCCATTTCTACGGGTTCCAACGGCAATGCTTCTTTACAAAATAGTGGTGAGTGCTTAGTAACGTTTTCTGGCGCACTTCGGCAACAGGGGGGGGGGCATTCTGCACATTTGCTTTTCTCATCAACGTGTCGAACCTGTGAAGTATTGTGAAGCCACGAAATGATACCAGCCAAACCTGTAGGGGTATGTGACAAGAGGATCGTTATTCGCCGCGCTGGTGGGCGACGACGTCGCGCCCGCAAATGACCATGGCTTCAGGTGGTAGATGGCGACAACGGCAATTCAGAACCGAAAATAGTCATGAATGTCTACGATGACGGGGTCTACATGAAGTCCGGTGCTCCAATCGACAGGTTAACACGAGTTAAGAAAACGCCGCGCCCATCGCCGCGCATGGTGGAGCGGCAAATTACGATTCTTTTGCCCGTCTACTCGTATAGACCCCGTGTCATCTCCTGTAAAGCAATGAAACACCATACATTTGCCATGGTGGTTCGACGATCCTGCGCCAGCTTCACAATAGTTCACAGATTTCATCAGAGTGGGACTTGTAAACCGAAAGTAGTGAAGCAGCGAGCGTACGAAATGCCCCCTCTAATCCCATCGCCCAACTGCGCTTGGTTTTGTGACAATTATCCGTGAATAGTCAACGTACGCTCCCATGAACATGTAGTGACTTATTGCGATCCACATTTTCCATGGTTGCTTTGTCTAGTCGGTCTTGTGATCCATTCAGTGAGTGGTGTGTGACGACGACGAACCCGTTTTGTATCAACGCACATCGCACTCGAGCGCTCGCTCACTCACATGCAAGCATTAGTGTGTGTTCGTGCGAATTACCCCATTGCCGTTATCATAGCGCGCGTAGCGCATTTTGTAATGGAACAATCGGTACGGTATCGATGATGCATCGTCCGACATTGGGGGAGCTGTGACGTATAGAATCGAGAATGTTTTGTTGGTAGTTTGGCAGTAATATGAGGAATACAAAAATTGACGAGCCATCATGAATGCATTTTGTATAGAAATATGGTGGAAATTGATGAAACCGATGTGAACGGTGGTGTTGGCATTTCACTGGTTCAGCTCTACAAAATGTCGTATCACTCGCTTGAAATTTTCAATTTGCACGTTTGGCGCGGCTCGGCGACAAGTTTGGGGGACGGGAGGGGGGGGGGGGAGGAGCAGCATTTTGCACTTTTGCTGCTTCACTAATTTTGGTCAACAAGCCTCATCCTGGTGAAACCTGTGAACTTTTGTGAACCCGGAAAGCTCTTAAAGCCACCATGGCAAAACCTATGAGCTCTTGTAAGTTCACGAAAGAGCTTTCGATGGCTGTACACGTCAATAGGGAGAAACAAAAGTGCAAAAAGCCTCTCCCCTCTCCCCTGTCGCCAAACTGCCCGCAGGTTCGATAACATGTACGTGTGGAAAAGCGTTGTACTTTGTACAAATTCGCTTGTTCGGTATGCGTACTCACCTGCGCAAGGTTTTGAATAGAGCGCTGTACTTTTGCGAATTATCTGGAATATCCACATTTCAATGTAGTCGCGTTCAGCTGAGTGGATAGCGATGATGTTTTCAAAATTATTAATATTCGTTCGTGGACGCAGGGCTCATGGCAGCACGTCTTACGGTGATCCCAGCGAGGGGGTCGTATAAGTACGCTGGAGGAAGGGATTGTATTTCCCGGACAAAAATGTTTGACTTATATGGATTTATCCCGAGTGCGTACTCACCCTTTCCCGACTACACAATGACAGGACGTGCTCTGATAGAAGTATTTATGGAGTGATATATAAGTTTTGCCTGTACCGCGAATTATTGACTTTTGAACAATTGCTTCCAAGGTACAGCATCAACGGGAGAATCCCATCAGGAGTAGTTGTACTTGATAACGGGAAAGAGGGATCGCGTTGCCTTGCGAGGAATTTTTCGAGAAATTTTTTTCCAGTTATTGAAGTTTTGATGTTTCTCGATTTTCCCGTCCGTTTCATGTTCACTAGGTATCCCTCACAACCCCTCCCCCCTCCTTTACATTCGGCGCCATTCAAAAAGTACATGCATGCTTCACATACACCTATTGAGTAGTCTGATATTCTTATAGTAATTTAGTAGTTGATTCGTGACGAACTCCTCCTCCTCCCCACCTCTCCAACGGAACCTTTTCTATGGATTCTGGAAAGGTTTTTGGAAATGTTGGGATAACCAAGGAATGTAGTGGGTAGGATACTATGAAGAACTTGTGGGGGGGGGGAGTGGAGAGGTCGTATTGACACCGTCATTCCACACATCCTGATGCTGCACCCTGTTCTCCACACATCCTGGATGCTGCACCCTGTTCCCTCCACCCGCTTAGTCGCGGAAAAGTTGTCCCTTTGGGAAGTGGTCAGAAACAGTGGCCATGGCTCGACTGGTTGAATGCTTTCCACCACTATCGGTGAAAAGTAGTGAATGGAATAACGGATAATGTAGCTAAGACGGAAATATTGGTTCAACTTCAATCTTTTCTCAGCATGTATATCAGAAGTGGATGGATGCTGATCGTGGGCGCGAAAAATCAATACCAATGTGATTGCATGAATCTGCAACGAACATGAACGGGGCAGTTTGCATGGACACATAACTGTCTATTACTTTAACATTTATGGGGGTATAGATGTGATTTTTAAGTTCGCTTTCGAAATGTTATGGAGTTCGGGTCCCGTTAACCTTTAGAACTATTTGCAGGCTCTTCGGGTACAGCTAGAGCGACGCCCACGCAACATTTGAATAGCGAGTTGCGAAAGAAGAAGCTACGTCAACGGATAATTCAACTAGTCGTATTGGGGAAATTTTCTGGTGCTGATCTAGTAAGTTTTGGGTTCTATACTTTTTGTCCCTTTTGATGTTCTTGGCTCAATAAGATCGCATTTCGATTACCTTGTAGGTCTTGCGCCAGTTGCGTAAAGATGGGCTAAACGAGGAAGCGGGTATTGAGCGTCGTGTCGAAGACATCGTACGCGAAGTGTCTGAACCGTCTGGTAGCGGTTCGACTAAAATCACTCTGAAACCATCGCTTTATGGTGAGGTGAGTAGTCTCGCTATCAGTTTAGATTTGGATCTCATTCAACGGCTGTGGCGTGGGCGCAGTTCGGCTTGGTGTGGGCATTTTGCTAATTCCCATCAATCAGTACCGATGTCTCTTGTGGAGACCTGGTGCCCTCGTAAAGCTATGCAATAGCACTCGCACTTGACAAAAGTCTACAGATCTTACCAAGGTCAGACTTGTAAGGCAAAATGCCTCTCCTGAGCCGAATAGCGCCGTGGCCTGGACCCACAAGTCGTTAGAATCGCATTCAGGGCAGAAAAGCAGGCATCATTAATTAATTGGTTTGAGTATTGATGACATCGATTTCAATAAGGGAATTCAAGGTGGATACTCGGTGGTTATGGTACAATCAAGAAGAGAAGGCCTATGTACGTCGTATCACTCAAGGTTTGTCGTCGGCTCAGACGAAAAGCAGTACATTTGCACCAATGCGAAAAAGTGGCATGGAACGTATGCAGGCTCCGGGTCATTCGTCATCGAATTCTGTCTCATCAGGACATACTGTTAGTCCTGAAGGTTAGTATTCTTTCTGAGTTCAGCTCAGTGCAAAACTTTTGAAGGATCATGAAGGAGGAGTAATCATATTCTCCTCATAATGTCCACGATTTCTTTCTGCCTAAATGGGTAGTTTAGCCATACCAACTCCACCAAGCTCTCGACCAGCTTCGGCCGTATCAGCTCCTATTCGAAAGACACCTCCACCGAAAAACACGAGCGTTACAATGTCGAATGCGAGCCGAGAACAAACGCCGACGTAAGTGGTTCTTTAGCTTCTATATTCAGCTTTTATGGAATTTCTCCTTGCCCTATTTGTGTTCCAGTTTAAAAAATGTAGCTCTTTTTTTTCTTTTCACGGCAGTGACGGCTCTGGCAGCCAAAGCGCGTTGCATGTTGGGGATCCCCAGCTAGGGAGATCGTATTTAGCCGTTTGATCGCTGGAGTAAGGAGGGGTCGTATTTGCTCTCAAGGTGCCTTTTCGATTATTGACTTCTCTCGATTTTTCTGTTCCATATATCTCCACTTTCCCTCATGGTGAAGGGGGTGGCACCAGAGGAGGAGCTCTCGAAAGATGTCGTATTTT